TACATATATTAAAGTAAATGTCAGCCCCCTTGTAAAGGTTTGTAGAAGACTGAAAACAATGTGCCATGTTGAAGTAATCTAAGCAAGGAGACCAGTGGTTTTTGATGTGTGCAGCTCGCTGGCAGCTCTGCATGCTGTTGTGTCTGCATCACGCTGCCTGATTTCTTCCGTTCTGTACAGTAGGCAGGAAGCGGGCCTACGTAAGTCTAGTTGAAGGCTTCTCAAGTGATTCTGGTATGTCTTTCCATTCTAGTCCCCTCTTTTTTTTCCAAAATGCATCACAATTCATGATGATTGTTCTATTTGTGTGTCGCCCAGAAGAAACATACTCAGGGGTTTAGTAGGTCACAGTGCTATCTCCTCAGGGGTTTAGTAGGTCACAGATTAGCATTTAATACACATCTTCAATCATAAAATTCTTGAGAGCTGACCCTTTCCTGGTGTTCCTCACAGAATGTTTCAGTGATCTTGGCATGTAGTACATGCCCAGTAAATATTATTGGTTTATTATCAGAGCATTGAAAATATTGTGATGTGACATGGAAAAAAATAAAACATTTGAGTGATTGAAAAGGGGGGTGGATTGCTATCATGCATCTGGCTTTCCTTAGAAGGGCTCCTAGAGAAGGTAAATTTTGAGTTATATAAAAAGAGGTTATTTAGTATTTAAATGAACAGAAATGAAAAGCCATTCTGGGCAGGGAGTGTGGCTTAGTGGTAGCTCAAACTCAGTGAAGGGAGCTGATAATTGGCCAGTATAGGGAGAATATAATTTGGTGGGGACATGGGCTAGTGAACACTCAGGTGAGTGTCAGTGATGTTCAAAGAAAGACTAAAGGAAGGGGAGGAGAAGGGGACATAAAAAGTAATGAGAAACAATTGCTAGCTGCTTTAGGGTTCTGTGGAAAGAAATATAATTAAAAAATTTAAGTGATAACTAAGGAGAATGATTCTTAATGTTTTACCATTTGCTTAAGATAATTGGGAAAAGGAATTTCAGGGGTAGAAACAAAGTGATTATAGTTTTTAGTTTTAGGTCCAGTCTTAATATAGTTCAGGTACTGTACTAAGCTTGTTATATAAATTATCTTTCCTCTAATTTTAGCCTACCTCATAGAGTAGGATACGTTATTTCTAAAGGTCAACTGAAGTGCAAGGAATTTAAATAACTTAAAAGTTACTTAAACCTAAGGAGCAGTCCTTGGCTTTACCCCTTACCAAGTGTGTTTATCCACAGCATGTATCTCTGGTGGTCTCCAGATTCTCAACCATTGCCTCATTCTTCATGAGTGTTTGACCTAAACTTTTGTCATTAGGATCACTCTGTGGGGTTAGAAAGGTGTATCCACAGGATCAGTTTTTAAGGGAGCACAGATTGATATCCCATAATACTTTTTTGCCAAATATGTTTCTGACATTTCTGTATCCCAAATCCTAAAGATGAACTCTTCTCTGTAAAAGTTGTTAAAATAACTCTTAGCTAAGAAATCCATTAATTATGATTTTGTGTTCTTCCTTTCATCTTGTCATTCAACTGTGTCACAGATGAGCTGTTTGGGACTTGCTGTTTGAACTGGACTGTGGCAGTTTTGAAGAACAATCAATGGATTTAATTCCTTCTTGCGATTTCTTTTCTGATAGGTATTTTAACAACTTTTGGATTTATTAATAGTTAACATTTTCAGAAGTTGCTGTGGCGTGTTGTTTATTCCTAGTCATACTGTTTCTACCTATGAGTCATGTGTTGCTTTTATCTTCAAAGATACTGGTGCCAGATGTTTGGGAGCCCAGACCTTCGTGCTGCCTTTGCCTATAACTTTAAGAAACAATTTCTCTTGTTTCTCACAGATTTCATTTTCAGATATTTTGAAATAATAAACTTCCAGTGGTTAATATATGAATAAACCTCAGATCTTCCCTAAATTTCCCAGACTCTCTGATGAAAAGTTCAACATTATTGAATTTATTTTGCTTATTTTGTGTTAGTCACACCCTAATTATTGTGGAGAGTGCTGGATTTCTGAGCCCAGTGATATGTTCACATTGAAAGACTTTATATTTTCTCAGTGATTATCACTGTTATTATTATTTTTAGTGCTGCCCTTTAGAATTCAAAGTAAAGGGTGGACCCTTGAGTTTAAATAAACCTTTATTGGAACTCAGGTCATACCCATCATTTACTTAGTGTTCATAGCTGCTTTCACCTTACCTCAAAAGAACTGGATAGTGGTGACAGAGACTGCATGGTCTGCAAAGCCTAAAGTATTTGTTGTCTAGCCCTTTTTGAAATAATCTACTGACCCCTGATCTAGAACATATAAATGGTGTAGTAGAACTTCAGAATCAGACAGACCTAGATTCTATTCTAGCTCTATAACTTTTTAGCTTAGACGAGATACTTTAGTTCAATGAAGCTTAAAATTACTCTGCTTTTTTTTAAGAATGAGGTGCACTTGTTAATGAGATTTCACTTTTTCAACAAATATTTTTGGAGTGTCTTTGTATGGCTGACAGTGGAAATATAGGGGTGACCTAATAGGTAAGGACCTGCAAGTGGCAAGCTTATATGTTATTTGAGGAGTCAGTGAGCAATTAAGCAAATTAATAAATAATGTAACATGAGTTAGCAATGAGTGCCAGGAAGAATACAGCAGTAAAAGGAGACTTAGGAGACTCTGTTTAGATAGAATGGACAGGGAAGGCCTCTATGAGAACAGAATTTTGAATAGAATCTTAAATAGCTGAGGGAGTACCCTTAGAAAAACTCGCATGCAGAGGAAGTTGCACTTGGCATAGTCGTGAGGTGAGAACAGACTTGCATTCAAGGAACAAGGAAGGTCAGCATCCAAGTGGTGGTAGTGGAGGTCAACTAAGGGAGAGAGGTGCAAGGTGAGGTCCTGAGAGGCCAGTAGGACTGACCTTGTGGACCTCAGGGGCCTAGGTAAAGGGCTTGAATTTTATTCCTAGATAAGAGAATGTTAAGCAGGCAGACCTGCTAGGCAAGGATATTTGAGAAACCTGGCTAGTTTGGGGATGTTAGCAGTGCAGGTGGTAGAAAAGGTCAGATTTAGGATGTATTTCAAAGTTAGACTCTATGGGACTTCCTGATAAAATACATGGGAAAGGCAATGGTACCTTGGTTCATGAATGCTTTTGTTTGTGAACAACTTGGTTTGCAAATAGTGTTTGGCAAAAAATTTTTTTTTTATTTCCGAGCTCTGCATCGGGTGATGAGGACGACTGTGGCCATCTTTTCCAGAATCGTGGAATACATTAAGCTTGTGTGAACTGAGGCAGCACTGTACTTACTAAGTTGATAAATGTTAATTTCTATTATTTTTTAGGTAATATGAATAGCCATATCTAGTAAATGTGAAATTGTATTCTGTCAAAGACTAGCTCTTTATCCTCTTCTAATTCATAAGCACAGAATCTTATGTATAATGGCTGATTAATAAACATTTTATGAGAAAATTGATCATACATCTTCTGAAGAAGTTCTTCAGATGATAGTGTTAGAAAGTTTTTTTGTACCACAGAAACATTTAATTAAATAATTTGTCAGATAAAATTAAGTCTTGCAATTTAATCTAAATATACTCCTAGTACATAGATTGAATAAGACAAAAATAATTCATATATAATATCTGCTCAACATTGTTTGAGATCTTTTCTGAATAGCTTGTCTTGCATGTCTGTCTTTATTGCTATTTATGTTTTGAAGTTTGGAGAATTTCTTCTACTTTATTATTTTCTTTTCCAGAGTCTCTTACTTAGCATAAGGATTAATATCTAGTAATTTTTAATTTAGTAAAGTATTCATTTTTCATGTGTAATTTGTATTTATTTTTTATGTTTTACAGAATGTTGTTCCAGCTGAAGTGTCCCTTGTTTGTGTAGTAAAGCCAGATGAGTTCTGGGATGAGAAAGTAACACATTTTTGTTTTTGGAAAGAAAAGGATAGACTTGGCTTTGAGGTAAACATTATCTATTACAAAACAAAAGAAGTGTGCGATACCTCTTAAAGTAGTATTTTGCTGGTATTATTTTGTTCAGATTGGTCCTAAGCAGTGCTCAATTAGTGTACTTGTTGAATAAATTATGATTCTTTGTCAGAGACTACAGAAGCTTTATTTTCATTTATACTGTATCACTCATTAAGTCCTTTGATTAACTGGAACCTTTTTATTTAAAAAAATTTTATTGGATTACTAAGAGGAAACAACAAATATTAGGTAATCCCAGACATTATAAAATTGAAGATAGAGTCTATTTTCTGTATGTAATATGTCCCAATTATTTTTAGTATTTGGTTTGATTTTGATATATGAACACAGTTATCTGTTCTTTCTTTACATTACTCGCGCTCAGTTTTCTTGTGTGAAAAAGAATCTTATTGTAGGTTAGACAAAAACCCTAAGATGGAATGTAAATTTAAACAATTTTGTCATGTTTTTCCTAACACAGTCTGTTAAATTCCCAGTTTCCCAGTAGAAGAGTTAATATTAAATTTTGCATTTTTAAAATAAAATGTATAAACTCTGAAAAGGCACAAGGTCTAACACCAACTCTGTAGATAGAATATAGATTCTTGGAATGTTTATGAGAGTCAGACAATGAAGATTCATTTTGGACTTTGCCATACTATAATCGTGTTTATTTTTGTAGAAGTCAATGCTATATCAGTATATTTTTGGTGTAGAGGAAAGTTTGCCAGTGTGTATTAGATAGAAAGGTTTAAGAAAGCATCATTTATCCTTAAGTGAGGTAGGTTGAAGTGTCTTAAAAATACTGACTTTATTTAACTTAAAAAAGTTAAAGGACAATTTACATGCAGTGAAAATTGTTCATTTTAGTGTACAGTTCTTAGTGTTCTGATCAAACATAAAGTTATGAAACTACTACCGTAATGAGGAAGTCAGGCCAGTACCTCAGTGTCCCTAAGATACTCCTACTTTTCTGTACTCAGCTTCTCTATCTGCAGCTGCATCAACCACTGTCTGCCTCATGTCCTAATAGTTTAGCCTTTTCCAGAATGTAATAAATAGAATGACATCCGTATTGTTGCATGTATTGGTAGTTCTAGTCTTTTGATTGCTTACTAGTACTATTCCATTGTAGAGATGTTAGTAGTTCATTTCCTAGCTGAGGAATATTATGGCTTATTTTCAGTTTTTCATGCTTACAAATAAAGCCACTATGAATATTCACGTGTAGGGTTTGGTATGAACATACATTTTTATATTAAGAAGTGAAATACTTACAGGTAAAATTGTTGGGTTATATAGAGAGCATATGTTGGGCCGGGGATTTAGCTCAGTAGTTCTGCCGCCTGCCTCACAAGCACAAGGACCCGAGTTCAATCCCCGGTACCAAAAAAAAAAAAAAGAAAGTATATTTTTCATTCCCACCAGCTTTGTAGGAAAGTTCTATTTGTATCTTTGTCATCACTGAGGATTGTTAGGATTTTCTGGGTTTTTGTTTTTTTACTTTAATTATAGCTGTTTAGTGACTGTGTGGCCATTTCTGACTGTGGTCTTAATCTGCATTTTTCTAATGATTAATGATGTATCTTTTCAACTGCGTATTTGCCATCATGTATCTTCTTTAGTAGTAAAGGAAAACAGTGTTTCTCCACTCAAAGAGCTTCTGACACCAGATCTATGGGGTTTTTGTCTCCACACCAGCCTTGGCATCACCTGGTATCCTGTCATTTAATTCAGTTTTAATATTACCCAGAGTTAGCAAGGTCTCAAAAGTTAAGGGCTCATTCATAACACTTCCCCCATTTCAGTTGCGGTGCACAACTTCGGGTACCCACACTTTGTTTGACCTGGTGACAAATTAGGGGTTCCCACAATCCCCTCCAAAAATTCAGTAGTTTTCCATGATGACTCACAGAACTTAGGGAAACATGTACATTTACCAGTTTATTATAAAGGCTACAAATAAAGAACCAGAGGAAGAGATACATAGGAGATCTGGAAGGATCCTGAGCATTTGTTGGCAAGGAGTTGGGGTGTACTACCTTCCTGGCATATGGGTGTATTTGACAACCCAGACGCTCTCCAGACCCCCAATTCTAGGAGTTTTTGTAGACTCGGCCCTCGGCCCTCAGCCTTTGTTCCACTGAGGTAAGGAAATGGGGCTGAGAGTTCCAGCCCTCTTCTCATATTTTTATGTTTTTGATCACTAGCCTTCATACTGAAGCCATCTAGGGGCTCCCACTGAGCAGTCATTCATTAGCATACAGAAGGACACACGTCACTCTGGAGATGCCAAGGGTCTTGGAAGCTCTTGTATCAGGAACTGGGGACCAAGACTAAGTATTATAATAAAAGTTGGCTCCTATTACTCAGAAAATTGTGAGGATTTCAGGAGTTCTGTCAGGAACCAAAGCAGGATGAAGAGCAAGTAAGTATTTCTTATATCACAGTATCACGAATGGTGTCTATTCAGATCTTTTGGTCTTTTAAAGAGATAAAGCCTTTGTTTTCTTGTTTTTGAATCTGAAAGAGCTTTATGTAATCTGGATATGTCATTTATGGAATATGTGATTTACAGATGTTACATCCAAGTCTGCTTGTCTTTTCATTCTCTTAATAGTACTTTTCATAAATTTTTAAGCTTGATGAAGTGTGGTTCTTCAGTTTTTCTTTTATGAATCATACCTGATCTGGGTATCACATCTGAGAAATCTTTGCCTAACCTAAGGTCAAAAGGATTTTCTCATGTTTTGTTCTAGAAGTTGTATAATTTAGATTTTAAATTTAGGTTTCTGACCCATTTTGAGTTAATGTTTGTGTGAGCTTTGGTCTGAAAACATAAGTTTTATGACTTCAGGCATTTAAAGTTTGATAAGGTGTGTTTTCTTACCCAGTATATGGTCTCTCTTGGTGAATTCCTTGTGCACCCAAAAGAAAATGTGTTCTGCTGTTGCTGGGCAGAGTTCAGTGACTTGTCTAGATAATTCATGGTGGTATTTAGGTCTTCTGTATCGTGGTAAAATTCTGTCCACTTGTTCTTTTGGTTGTTTAATAGGAATTTTGCAGTCTCCAACTTTTCTTGTAGATTTTTCTCCTTTCATTTCTGCCAGTTTTTACCTCACGAATTTTGAAGCTCTATTGTTGAGTGCATAAATATTTAAGATAGTTTTATCTTATCTGTTACTTTTATAATGTGAGTTTCTAATAAATACTGTATAGTTTGGCTTTGCTTTCATTTCAGTTTGATAATCTTTTTCTGGGTGTGTTAAACTATTTACCTTTAGTGTAATTTTTGATATGGTTATATTAAAATCTACCATCTTGCTAGTTTTTATATGTTTTTGGTTTACTGCCTTTTGAATTAAGTATTTTTATGATTATATCTTATTTCCATTATTGGCTTTTAATATATTAATTATTGATCATTGCTCTAGTACACATCTTTAATCATACACTTACTATAAATAATATTCTACTTTACATGCGGTAGAAGAACCTTAAAGTCTATTGGCAATATTTTCTCCCAGTGTTGTCAGACATTTTACTTTTACTGTGTACTATAAACACAGAGTACATTGCTACTCTTTGCTATAATCAATCTATTGTTTTACAGCAATTAAATGTTTAAAACTGCATTCCAAATTCATTCATGCCATATTTGATATACTTTCTTTTTGAAGATTCAGCTTGTTGTCTGATGTATTAGTCCTTCTGCCTGCAGTATTTCTTGTGATATGCTGTAGCTTAAAATGCAAAGCTATTGACATTGGATTCTCTTAGGTTTTGTCCTTCTGAAAACCTTTATTTTTATAAAACTATTTTCAGTGGGTATAGCATTTTGTTTCATAGGTTGTGTTTTTCCCCCTAGTACTTCACATGTATTTAAAAATGTTTCTCATGTTTTTGCTTTCTCATTTTCATAATTTCTTTCTCTCTCTCTTTCTCTCTTACTTTCTTTTTTGGTACTGGGGATTGAACTCAGGACCTTGCGCTTTCAAGGCAGGGCAGCCCTCTAATAGCATAATTTCTAAAAAGAAGTCTACTGTTATTTGTATCTTTAACTGTCTGTATTTATGTATCCATTTCCCCCCCCTTAGCTGCTGTCAAGATTTTATTTTCATTTTAGTTTTCACCTATTTTATTCATTATGTCTGTAAGTCTCTAGTATTTATTGTTTGGTGTTCTTTGAATTTTATGGATCTCTGTTTGATATCTGTTATTAACTTTGGAAAGTTCTCAGAAATTTTATTTTCAAATATTTTCTTGAACTGATGTTCTTTTTCTACTTCTTCTGGAATTCCAACTGCAAATATTGGATTATTTGAAGTTTTCTTATGGATCATGGTGGCATACAACCATAGTCCCAGCTACTTGGCAGGCTGAAGTGGGAGGATCACTTTTAAGCCCCTGAGTTACAGACTATCCTGGGCAACATGGCAAGACAGTTAAAAAATTAATTAAAATAATTCTTTCCCCTAGATTTATCTGCTGTTTTTGTTTTCTCAAGTTTTTGTCTCTGTGCTCAATTTGGGCATTTTCTGTTGATCCATTTTCAAGTTCACTGTTTCTTGGAAGTGTGGAGTTTGTTGACAAGATCATTGTAAAATTTTTTCATCTCTGTTACCATGTTTTTCATTTATAGCTTTTCTATTTGGTTCTTCCTCATGTACCCAGCCTTCCATATCCAAGAGTTTGCATCCAAACCTGGATTGAAAAAAATTTTTTAAAAAACTGCTTCTGCACTGAATATAGAATTTTTGTCATTATTCTCTAAACAATGCAGTATAACAACTATTTGCATAGTGCTTTTATAGGTATCATAAGTAATGTAGGCATGATTTAATGTAAATAGGAAGATGTCCATAGGTTATATGCAAATACAATGTCATTGTATGTAAGGGACTTGAATAGCTGTAGATTTTGGTGTCTGCGGGAGAGGTATGGGTCCAGAAACTAGTCCCTGTAGGGACCATTTTACTTATTTATTTATT